CATAAGAGCCCATTTTAATTTATTTTATGATTTAATTTTTAACTAATTGCCATTTATTTCAATCAATTACATTATGTTTTCAATATTTTTGTATGTATTATTTCTGTCTCTAATTTTATGTTCTAATATATATATTAAAATCGTAATTTTTGTTTAATTAGTTTGTTGTACATAATTAATAATAACGGTTAACATAAACATAAAATTTGATCCCAGTTAATTTTATATAAAATGATAATCATTTCATCAAATTGAATTCTCAATTTACAAACAATTGAAATTGTTAATTGTTTAAAAAATAACGTTATACATATTACTGAACTATTTGTTAATCCATTGATTAAGTTATAAAGTACATATCATAATATGTAATTAATAATGAAAGATTATTTTGAAATCGAAAGATTGAAAACAATAATTATCTGGATTTATTTATTTCATATAATACAGTAGTGATGCACAGAGTAGGAGATTCCAGCTTTTTGGTAATTAACTGTTTATATTTGTGTTTTGTTTTTGAATTTATAGGTGTTTATTGTCACAATATTCACAAGCTGCATTTTTAGCACCATTGCAGTTTTTGCACAAATACCGCAGGGATACATATTGGGCATGATAAGGAAAAACGACAGAGAAAATAAACAAGTTAAATATATCACTAGCTAATAAAGAAACCTTATATCAAATATATTACTTGTTAACAAAGAAACCTTATATCAAATATATTACTTGTTAACAAAGAAACCTTATATCAAATATATTACTAGCTAACAAAAAAACTACTTATATCGACCGATAAACGACGGAGTTACAAAGAAACTTTATATCAAATATATTACTAGCTAACAAAAAAAACACTTATATCGACCGATACACGACGGAGTTAAATATATCAATAGCTAACAAAGAAACCTTATATCAAATATATTACTTGTTAACAAAGAAACCTTATATCAAATATATACTAGCTAACAATAAAAACTGATATCGACCGATACACGACGGAGTTAAATATATTACTAGCTAACAAAGAAACCTTATACCAAATATATTACTAGTTAACAAAGAAACTTTATATCAAATATATTACCAGCTAACAAAAAGACCCTTATATTGACCGATAAACGACGGAGTTAAATATATTACTGGCTAACAAAGAAACCTTACATCAAATATATTACTAGTTAACAAAGAAACCTTATATCAAATGTATTACTAGCTAACAAAGTAACCTTGTATCAAATATATAAATGAGTTAAATATTAATATATATATATACACACACACACAATTTATAGTTAAGCGACTATTATGATCACATAAAGACTGATATATTTCAATAATCTGTTTACAACGTAGCGACTATTGATAAGAAGTAAATTCTGATACTTATACTCATACAAGCACTAAAACCCTGAAATACAACAATAGGTTATTTTCTGTACAATCGAAACTGTAATCAAATACTTAC